AGCCTGTCCTTGTGCTTGGGAGTTCTCCGAGAACTCCATTTTTCCCAAACCATGCATTGCCACTGCAGCCACAAGCTGACGTTTCTCCGTGCTCACAGATGTGTCAGGATTGCAAGGTTTTGTTCCCAGCCCTTGAACAGATCAGAAATAACCCAGGAGTAAGGAAAGACGACAAAGGTGCTGAGCTACCTCGGGATAAAGGGAGCAAAGTGAGGGGTCATGGGCCCTACGTAGGGCAGGGCAGGGGGGTCTCAGCCCTGCACACACTCAGAAGGACGCCAGCCATGGTGGGGTCAGGGCTGCAGGGGAGGTGACAGTGAGACACCTGGGATGTCCCCTGCAGACCCTCTCCCAAACCCCCTGCAGAAAGCCCAGCTCTGCCCTGCAAACTCCGCATGGTGAGAGCTGAAAGGTCCCACAGCGCTGTGCCTGCTCTGCCCCCAGATCAACCCCGTCTTCACGGCTCGGGGTGGAAACGGGGTGATTCCTGCAGAGGCGAACGGACGCAAGGAGGAGGAGCAGGGCGAGGGAGGTGATGCCACCGACCGCGAAATGTTGGCTCCTGATCTGTGACTGCTGATCCAATTAAAAGGGTTAATCCCCAGACATGCTCCCGCGGGGAAAGCAGCCTCTAAGAAGTCCCCCGCGGGGACGTATGGTCGTTAGGGCACGCTCCCAGGATGGCCGGGTCTGGCATATCACTGACACGATTACCCACGGCTCGCAGCCCCAGTCAGCCCCACAGCAAGTCCCTCTGCCCCTCCTCGGCCAGTCACCAGGCAGTGCTACGTGCGGAGGGTGGTCACTGGCCCATGTGGCCCCTGGGCACGTCCCCAGTGCTCCTCTGGGATGTTGCATTTACCGTCCTGGGAGAAATTCACGTCTCTGACACTGGCCAGTGTTCAGGGGGGAAGGTGATGTCTTCTCCCACCCATGCCGTGGTGGGGAAGGAAAAGCCAGAGGGCTCAAAAGATTATGGTTGGAGAAGGATGGTAAAGGATGGATGGATGGATGGATGGATGGATGGATGGATGGATGGATGGATGGATGGATGGATTTCAAGGCCAGATTAGACAGGGCTTGGAGCAACCTGGTCTAGTGGAAGGTGTCCCTGCCCATGGCAGGGGGTGGGACTGGGTGGTCTTTAAGGTCCCTTCTGACCAAAACCATTCTGTAATTCTATGGATGGAGGGATGGATGGATGGATGGATGGATGGATGGATGGATGGATGGATGAATGGATGGATGGGGAAGAGTGAGGGACCCACCTAAGAAACCCATGGTTGCAGCTCTGCCATATGAAGCAAGATCTGAGCCCACCCATCATATCTCTGTTGGCTCAGGGATCACTTCAAATGGGTAAAAGCCCTTCCAGCCTCACCACAGAGAACAGAGGGGAAGCTTTTGGGTCTCCTTGGGTGGAAACAAGCTGTCCTGTGCCATCTGTGTCCATGTCCCTTGGACAGCAGGCACCGGACCTGCTCCACAACCAGTGCAAGGCAAGGTGCCTCCAACCAAACCAGCAAAAACTCAGTCGTCCCAGTTTTCTCTGCCAGGAACCAGCAGCCGAGATACCACACTCGGCTTCTGCCTAACTGGAGCTCACCCCTTTGGTCTGTGCTGCCACAGCTAGTGAGGGGGAACAGCAGCTGAGGTGAAAACGTTTTACTGTTCAATATAAAATTTATGGGGTGCCTTTTATGACAGCATCCCAAAGCAGGGCTGCAGTAAAGGGATAACTAAAAGTCAGCAGAAAGCCTGACTTGCAACAACAGAGAGCTGACAAGAGGCCTAACACCTGAAGGTAGGGGAGAAGCTGACACTGGAGATGATGAGATGCTGTTTGAAGGCAGCCAGGGTCGGGGAGTGCGATGGGTGCAAAGATAAAGTTCTGGGACGATGGGACAGTCACATTGTGCAAATGGTATCTTTGGAGACTTCCAGGTCATAGAATCACAGAACAGTTTGTGTGGGAAGGGACCTTAAAGCCCACCCAGCCCCACCCCCTGCCATGGGCAGGGACACCTTCCATAGCCCAGGTTGCTCCAAACCTCATCCAGCCTGGCCTTGGACACTTCCAGGGATGGGGCATCCACAGCTTCCCTGGGAACCTGTTCCAGTGCCTCCCCACCCTCTGCGGGAAGAATTCCTTCCCAATATCCAATCTCCATCTCCCTCCCTGGGTGGGCTTTAAGGTCCCTTCCCACCCAAACCATTCCGTGATTCCATGATACCATGAGGCTGCTCCTCCATCTCCAAGTTGTGTGTCCATGAAACCTCTCTCTAAAGACACTCCCTCCTGCACACAATCTCCAAACCTCCCTGCCCACAGCAAATCTCAGCCAGGGGCCCGGGGTGATGCAGCACGGAGCTGATGCAGCTCTGCGGTGCCTTCAAACACCCGGGGCTTTTGAGGAAATATAATGCCCCACGCTCTGGGTAGAGGTGACGCTGTGAGGGGTGGCAGGGACCTCATGCCATGCAGATTCCTCTGTCACTGCTCACCAAAGGTTCCTCCTGGCCACGGAACAGCCGGCAGTATCCACCACCACCCTGGAGATGGTAGAGGAGCTCTGTGTGTGCAGCACTCAGCTGATTGACATCCAAGAGGTTTCCTGCCTATGTGTCACCTCAGTATATCCTATATGGGTCAGTGTAACCTATATGGGTCACTGTAACCTCTACTGGGCTCCGTAATCTACACTGGGCTCAGTAACCTATAGATACCTGCAGGAAACCTCGTCTGGGCCGGGCAGCACAGGGTTTCTGCTGGTTTTCTCCAGGAGTCAGGCCATCCCTAGGAACCCAGCCTTCATTTCAAACACCTACCGCTTCTGGTAAACGAGCATGAGTTGGGCCTTGGGCCAATTAGAGCACGCAAGAATGAGTTAATTGGGCTGAGGAGTGAGGGGTCAGGCTCTGCCCAGGGACTGGCAGCATGCAACATGTGCAGTGATGCATGCAGCCGTGGGGCAAGAGGGTGGCTTTGCCCCTCTCCCTTCACCCCACACCACGGGGGACACCGCCAATGCCCAAAGCATCACTGGCTGCTCAGCATCCATTGAATTTTTCCTGGATAAATTTAACCTGGATCATTGCACGGCTCTGGTGAGCGGTGCTGTGTCGGTGCCCTCCGGCTGCTCTGATTATTCCCAGTTGCTATTTGCTGTGGGTCCACTGGAGCTGCAGAACCTTTGATTTTTCACTCCTCTGTCCTTTGCCCGTGCACAGACCTGGTTTCCATCCACATCCCAAGCACATGGCAGCAGCTCCCGTATTTTGAGAGCATAACAAAGAGAGAAGAGGAAGGCACGGCCGTCCCTGGGGTGGGAGCTGCTCACATTCATCCTTTTATAGCCCCACGTGAGCGGTTGCCTGTCCAAGAGAGCACCTGCACTCACTTAGCAGCTTGCTTGGGCACCTGCCCAGCACGCCAGGACCTCCCGTTTCCTGGCCCGGGTTTGCCCCCAGCTTTCACCTGACCCCCGTGCCCGCTGCCGGCCCTGAGGTCCATTTTCAGCCCCAAACTGGCCGCAGACCGTAAGCAAGTGGGACATCGTGATCCCCTGACGATGAGAAAAGCATCCGTGGGCTGCTCTCTGCCCCTGAGGATGTTGGTGAGTGAGCGCAGGAGGATCAGACCCCGCCGGAATGGGGGTCCCAGTGGCGACCCCCAAGTCGTGACATGGACCCTACGGGGAAAGGAGAGTGGACACAGGAGGTTGAATCAACAAGACGCTTTAATCAGATTTATCGGACAGATCTGGATCTCCAAATAAATAGGTTTATCAAAACAGAATAAAACAAGAAACCAAGGATAAATACATGTACCAAAACAACCTGAAAATCCCCCAAAGCTATTTCGACAGGGGGAGGGCAGCGCTGCTGCGCGCCCTCCTCCCCACACTGCAGAAATGGTCCTGTTTTCCCTTTGGGAGATGCCTCTCCTGTGGATACAGCCCAGTAGATATTATGTAGGATATATGTAAATATATAGCATAATAACATGCTCCGCAGCGACCTTAGTGCAGTGGTCAGGGTCTCAGACCCTGGCAGCAGCTGGGTCGTCCCCAAAACTACATCTCCAAGTGACCGGCAAAGAACGGAAAAGGATTTTCCCAGCTGGAAACAGAGGAGAAAAGACCCCAGAACTACCCGCTGGAGGGTATCCGGCCGAAGAAACCCTTTGGAGATCACAGGGGCTCAAAGAAAAGAAATGAGGGTGACTTATTTCTCTCCTCGCGGGTCACCTTTATGCCAGAGGGTGGTAAAAAGCATGATCACATCTGCTTTGCTGCTAGCTCCCGATGCTCTTCAGAAATGCCGGCGTTTCAAGGATGTATCCCACCTCCTCCCGTCGCACCAGGTCTCCCATCGCCACCGTCTCTCCTTCCTCCCTCCTCCCGCGTGACGTTTTCGGTGGCGGGTGACAACGGGCGGCCTCTTCCGCTCTCCCACTGGGGAGAGACACCTCCATGGCTGTGGCTTCGAGGCGGTTCCGTTGGGTTCGTTCGCTGGATTTTCTGTCATTTACACTAGTGCGTCCTTTATTGCGGTGGCAGTCTATGTAATAATGCGACTTTTGGGGTTTCTTGTCATATATACGTGTAGGTGTGTATGTGGGGGGGTGTGTAGATAAATCAATAGCTAGGTGAAAGTTTTTTTTATTCTTTACAAGTTCTTTGTTTCTTTCTCTGGGCTCTCTGTCATCCTCAGCTCTGACGTCTGGGCTCGGAAGATGTTCCAGTGACCTGGAGGGGCAGAGACAGACAGATCTTGCAATTAAATTGGTATTTGAGGTCAAGAGAGGCCCTATATATCTCCTGCAGTGCAATTAATGGCAAAAATAATGGCATTTCCTAAGATTTTCCTGGAAAACACTCCTGTACGAGCAACAGCAAAGGAGAACAGTCTGCAATGGGGATAAATCACTGCTTCAGCCTCCTCAAGGTGCGTTTTAACGTGAGCAGTTAGGGTGACGTCCTCCTTGGAGCGTCCAGGATTCGGGCTGACTCCCTGCCTCTCGGTGGGGAGAAGCATTTGGCTCTTCTGACTCATCAGAAAGCCAAAATTCACATTCCGTGGGCCGTGGCGGGGGTGTGTTGCTCTGCTCTCCTTGTCAGCGCAGGGTGATGGCCGTCAGCCCCATTTCTTTGCAGTTGGTTGCTCAAAACCCTGTAAATTATACTCATTTTCTGCTGCTGCCCCAGCCCTGGCTCCTTGTTCAGGGCTTTGCAACCACCTATGGCCAGGGAAAGTCCTGCTGCAGAAGAAAAAGGACCCCCCCACATCCCCCCACAGCCTCACTGGTGAGCTGCAGACCCCCTGCAAAGCAATTGCATCGGTGGGAGCTGGGAAACACCCCAAAAACTAACACAAAGTGTCCCAATTCCTCTCCTTGCTCCCCCAAAACACCAGCATCCCCATACTTGCAGGAGGTGGTCGCTTCCCCTGTAATCCCAGCAAGGATTATGCAGCCCTGATGTCGTCATCCCAAGAGGGGGCACATTTTCTAGCTGAATTAATCTCCTGTTGTGAAGAAATCACCGGCCAAGGCTTTCCTAGAACTTGTGGCAACGGCAGAGGGATGGTTTCACAACAGGGTTATTTGTCAGGGGAAACTGAGGCAAGAAGAAAGGGGCACGTGGCAGAGACCCCATCAGGGTGCGAAGCCCAGTCTGGGAGCAGGGATTTGAAAATTCCTGAAGGTTTGGTCAAGAGGTGCTGTCTTGGATGGATTGGAGGTGAAAACAAATCTCCAGCCTCCCCAGGGCACTGGGTGTGCTGGTATGCGCTGGGCAGCAGAGCCATTCCTGGCTGACCCGGTGACCCCTGGGTGCTGGACAACACGGGAATGGCTCCGATCCGAACCTAACCCATTAAACTCTGACCCAGCCCAGGCGAAGAGGCAGCCAGCGGGAAATAGCACGGCAGTTTTGCCCCGCGCAAGCACTCTCGGCATGTGCACT